GTCTGTATTAAAATTCCAGTTCGGCTACTGACAGTTGACCTCACACAAGTGGTTCTCAGCTGGTGGTGATTCTGCCCTTCCCCCAGGACATTTGGCAATGTTTGAAGATACTCTTTTGTCATAACTAGGGAGAGAGAGAGAGGTGCTACTGGCATTAGAGACTAGGAAGGCTACAGAGTATCTCCCAGTGTACAGAGCCTTCTTCCACAAGGAATTATCCAACCCCAAACGTCCACAGGGCCAAGGCTGGGAAACCGTACCTTACATGAACAAGTTAACTCCTTGGGCGTTTAGTTTTATCACCTGTGAAATAGGCATAGTAAAAGGATCTGTGTAGTGCTATTTTATATGTTTAACAAGAGAATGCAGATTCCTAGTGCCCAAAATAGTTAAGTACCCTGTAAATACTCCATACATTATTACTATGCTTCTGGAACCCCACTTGGTTGTACCTCTTGGCTGAGCTCACCCCACGCCAGCTTGGCTTTCTCTTACCACGACTAGTGCCTTTGATTTTTTAAAAAAGTCATTATTTTTTAATTAGATAAAATCTTGCTGTGTTGCCAAGGCTGTTCTTGAACCAGTAAGCTCAAGTGAACTTCCTGCCTCAGCCTCCAGAATGGCTGGCATTTGGTTCTGCATCTGAAGCCCTTCTTGCTTGTCTGGATCCTGCTCTCTTCTAGGCCTCCAGTCCTGTCTAGCAGCCAGAGTCCTCGTCCTCAGACTCAGTCCTAACACAGGTCCCTACCTCCACCTCCTTCTTCCCTCATCCCTTTCCCCTCCCCCACTGCCTGTCCACCCACCAGTTCCAGCCTTGTCCTGCTGCTGTCCTCCTGGCAGAGGCTGCACACTAAGCTCTTTCCAACTCCAGTACCTCTGCACAGACTCTTGGCACGTGTGTGTCCAGCCAAAGTGCCAGAAGATGGTCAAGTTCGCCCTGGGTTTGGACCAGGCCACTGGCCTCAAGTTCTGAGCTCCCATGTTTTTTACTGTTTGGTTTTGGGAAAATCCACTTCACCTGTAGTAAGTGGTGAGACAGTCTTCAGTCCATGAGGTCATTTTGTGAATCAGGCTGGGAATGTGTGTGAAAATACACACCTAGAGAGACTAGGTGTGGTGGTAGTGCATGCTGGTAAAGCCCAGCCTTCAGGAGACTGGGGCAGATTCAAGGCCAGGCTGGGCAATTTAGCTAGACTCTGGCTCAAAATAAAAAATAAAAAGGGATGGAAATGAAACCCAGTGGTAGAGTGCTCTTGGGTTTAATCCTCAGTACAAAAAAAATTGTAAAAGTATAAAGTTCTTTACTTGGAGCAGTGCTTTTTTTTATTCTCATATCACTTGTCACTTTACAAGAAACTATAATTTTGCCAGGTATGTTTTCACACATGTAATCCCAACATTTAGGAGACCAAGGCAGGATGATAGCCAAAAATTCAAGGCCAGTCTGGGCTAGACTGAGTTTAAGGCCAACCTGACCCTGTCTCAAAAAAAATACCCATAATTTTGCCTTTTGTTATTGGCTGTCCCCACTAAAATGTCAGTTCCCTGAGGGTGGACATTTTTAACTGTTTCTGTCCTTGCTCTTTGCAGTGCTAGAGATGGAACATGGGGCCCTGTGCATGCTATGCAGGAGGTTTACCACTGAGCTACAGATTGGCCTGGTTTTCAAGCCATGGCCTGATTTTTAATGTTTTCTACACTGTCAAATGCCTAGTGCCTAGTAGAAGGCCTGACACATAGCAGATATTCAAAAATACTTGTTATAGGAGAGAATTCTCTATACTTCTGTGACAGTCCTAAACTTACCCTCTCCAATAAACCTTCAAATGTGTATTACCTTCTTTATAGGAATATCCCCATTTTACAGATGGGGAAGTTGAGACTGAAAAAATGAAATGACCGACCTAGAGTCATTCACCTGAAAGGTGCCAGGGCCAGATACAACTCTTGTATGCTGCCATGAGGCCAGGCTTAGGACTGAGGACAAGATTTGGTCCTTCATAACACTTTCAGGAAGAGAGATTACAAAGGGAGACCCAACATGCTATAAAACACAGAGGAGCCTCACCGACCGCCCAGGTCATTGTTCCTTAAGGCAAGCATCCCAACCGTTCCTTAGCTTGAACCACCATATAGATCGTATATACATGGCATTAGCTCTGAGCTGCATTGCTAAATTGCCCAGGCTGGCCTTGAACTTTTTTTTTTTTTTTTTGTACTGGAGATTAAACTCACGAGCTTACACTTGCCATGCAGGTGCTTATGCCTCTGAGCTAAAAACCCCCACCTGGGCTTCAATTTTTGATTTTACTTCAACCTCCCAGAGTGCTAGGATTAAGGCACCTGCCACCATGAACTGGTTTTGGCTACTATATTGTGAGTGTATTCATTAATGCTATAGCCCTGAGACTTCCAGGATCCATTTGGAATTCATTAGCCAGGTTAGAGCACCATGCTGTTCTTTAACCACCTGGACTTCTTAGTTTTGCTGCTTCTTCTGTCTTCATCAGTGGAAGCTTCCTTGAGAGCTAGCACAGCACAGCAGCTGTCCTCAAACTCAGTGTCTCAGCCTCCCAAGTGCTTGGATTACAGGCATGCACCACCATGCCCTATTCAGTCCCATCTTTGGTAGCTACCCTGTGCCAGCAGACCAAACACCACGCAGGGAGTGAAGGGCAGGATAAACCTGGTCACCACACTATCACAGTTTCCTTTTCCCCAGCTCCTCTGGGCGTGGCCTCTCCTATTTTTCTCCTGTTCTTTCTAGGATTGGTGTTCTATGCTCTGGCTTGGGGAGAGTAGATTCATGGTGTTTGAAGTTCACAGTCAGGATGGAATATGCAGGATAAAGACTTTTCCCCCTCTGAAACTCAGATTTAGGATTGAGGCCATTTTGGTGGTGGTGGTAAGGGAGACCCTTTGGAAAGAGCTCAAAGTGGAACTTGGGATGAAAGCTCACCTTTTCCCCAAAGATGGGGGCAGGTCTAGGATAGGAAGGTTTAAGTGTGGCTTTAAATCTTCAGCCAAGAGGCAGTGGAGAGCTCAGTGGCAGGGAGGGGCTGAGACAGTGGGAACAGCCCAAGCCTGTCCCTTGTGTTTCACTAACTCCTCACACCATGTCCCTGCTCCTGATTTAGGGAGCAGAACGGGGAAGGCAGAGCAGAGTTTTTGTTTAGGAGGCCCAGCATGGCAGCTCAGCAAGACCTATGTCCTGGGTCCTGTCACCTGGTGGCATCCTGGGTTCCCACTGTATTGCCTAGTCCCTTGCACAGAAATGAGAACCCACGTATTTCCATGTAGAGTCCCTCCACAAATACCCAGAGTCCTCACCCTAATTTATTGTTTGTTTTTGCTTTTGTTTTGTCTTTGTCAGACAGGCTGGCCTTGGGCTCACTTTATAGCCCAGGCTGGTCTCAAATTTGCAAATGATTCTTCTGCCTCATCCTCTCGAGTGTTGGGATTATAGGCATGTGCCAACATGCCTGGCCCTCACCTTAATTTAATCCCGCTGCAGCCCCTGGTCCCTTGGAGGCCTGGTCCCAACCTCAGAACCAAGTGCTATCCAGTCCTGCTTCCCACATGTCCTAGAGAAGTGCTGGAGCTGGTGGAGTTAGCAGCATAATCTAATTCCCAGTTTCCTTAGCAAAGAATAAGCTGCAGGAGTGCTCCTCCCATCCCCTCCCATATCCCCCCCCCCCCCACGCCAGGCAGGATGACCAGGAACTCAGCACTGCCATCTTTTAGACAGGGTGTGGTTGCTGGCAGGGTGGCCAGAACCAGCTAGAGGAGAGTAGAAGGCTGAACAAAGGATGGATGGAAGCTGCATACTAGCCTAGGACAGGGAAATCTCTGGACCTGAGTGATACTGTTTGGTAAGACCCCCTCCCTCTCTGGGCTGGATGGCAAGCAGACCTCTGGCCACAGGGGAGTGTGGAGATAGATCACTGTGTTGCTGGCCTTCATAGTCAGCAAGGCTATGAGATGTTTGCTGTCCCCTATCTCTCAGTCTCTGGCTGGAACCAAGATGGAGATCAAACATTGGTTGTCCAACACACACACACACACACACACACACACACACACACACACACAGCTCCCCCTTTCAGCCCTTTCAGGGAACCACAAAAATCTGGGACCTGGTATCCTGGCAACGTGGTGAATGTACACACAACTCTGTGTCTGTTTTAAATTATCCATTAAAATAAGTACAGTCCTGGAAAAAAAATGAGTCCTGGAGTTGGTTGGATAGAGTAAACAGTAGAAACGGACAGAATGGGTAGAGATCTAGGTGGCCTTTTTCCAAGGCCTGGATTCAAAGGAAGAGAGCAGGAGGTGGGAAGGGGCATACTCTGAGTCCTATTCTTGGACTTCTCTGGGTGACCCAGTATTGTTGTTTGCATCAAAGACTCACTGGTTGGTTTTAAAGGCAGATAAGCTGAGACAGAACATAGGGGAAAGAACCCTGGATTCCTGACCCTGCCCCAAAATTGTGGGCATAAATGAGCTTCCCAAGGAACCGGGGCATAGTCTCCTCCTGGCTTTCCAAGATGTAGCGGTGAATGGGCGGCCCACAAGTGGAGGGGGGTAGAGGTGACTCACTACTGGGAGGTGGGGGTGGAGGGGACAGTGGTGGAAGAAGGGTGAGTCACTCGGAGGGGCACCACTCAGCCCTCCCCCGTTCCGCTTCCTAACTCATTCCCTTGCTTTGCACCCACTTACCGCCCCCACCTCGTCCTGATTTGCCCACCCACTGCCATCTCTTGGCTCTGGCCTGTACTCTAGCAGGCTTAAGGCACTGGGGACAAGCTTAAAGCTGAGAGAACCTAATAGGCAGTAACCAAGACCATAGAGACCCGCGCAGACTGGAGTGCCCGGGAAAGGGTGCGGTCCTGCCCCTCCTTGCCACTCCCGCCCCACCCACGTGGTATGTGACTGCCCCTTTAAGAGAAGCAGCCCCGCCCCCTGCAGAGGAGGACCTATTAGAGCTGGGCCCCGGCGCCGGTGACTCAGTCAGTGTTCGCGGGAGCGCCGCACCTACACCGGCCAACCCAGATCCCGACGTCGGACTGCGCCCGGCCCAGCTCTCTGCGCTCGCCAGAGCCAGCGGTCTGCGCGCTCCGCCCCCGAGCAGTCTCTGCCTTCCGTTCAAGCCCAGCGCCCTTCCCGGGACCCCTGCCCTTCGGGCAGTGCTGCCACCCTGCCGGCCATGGAGACCCCGTCCCAGCGGCGCGCCACCCGCAGCGGGGCGCAGGCCACCTCTACTCCGTTGTCACCCACCCGCATCACCAGGCTTCAGGAGAAGGAGGACCTGCAAGAGCTCAATGACCGGCTGGCCGTCTATATCGACCGCGTGCGCTCGCTGGAGACGGAGAATGCAGGGCTGCGCCTTCGCATCACCGAGTCGGAAGAGGTGGTCAGCCGTGAGGTCTCTGGCATCAAGGCCGCCTACGAGGCCGAGCTGGGGGATGCCCGCAAGACCCTTGACTCAGTGGCCAAGGAGCGCGCCCGCCTGCAGCTGGAGCTGGGCAAAGTGCGCGAGGAGTTTAAGGAGCTCAAGGCTCGGTGAGTGCAGCCAGGTGGTGGCGTGCTGGACGCTGGCATGAGGGCGGTGGACAGTGCGCTGCCGGCCGGCTCCAAGAAAGAAGCCAAGGGCCCCGGGCAGTCCGTAACTTTGCCAGTCTCCTCCCTCCCACCAGTTGGGAACTGCCCCCAACGGGTGACTGACAGTACCTAGGGAATTGTCAAGACCCCACAGAAAGGGAAGGGGGTCTCCGGGAGAGAATAGAGGACATCGCGGGTAGGTAGGGGCTGGTGGCAGGCCCTCAGTGTGTCAGGATACGATTTGACAACTCTTTGGAGCCTGGGGGAGGGACTTGAGCAATGCAGAACTGGCTCTGCCAGGTCTCTGAACTCTGGACACCCAGAACACACGGGGATGAGTAAAAGGGTCCCCTTAGAACTTTCTTGACAGGCTTGGCATACTGCCAACTTCGCCAAACTTGGCTCTGAATACATAATACCCCCTGAGACAGAGCCTTGGCATCTGTCCAGCGGGCAGAGAGAGGTCATCGAGTCTGGGCGGCCCCTTTGTCCTCTGCAAAAGGTGTGGTGGTGACCCCTTTGGCACAATCTTTCCTGGCTTCCTTCTAAGAGCTGGAAAGCTCTCCCTCGCATGCTATGTGTCTGGGACCTTTCTTGGATTTGGTTAGGCCCCTTAGAACAGCTCCAGGAGATTGGCTCCCCCGCAGCTCCCACAGCCCTTGGCCTGCTAGGCCCAGGAATGCAAGTGAGGGGGGAGACCCAGGGCAGATGCCCAGCCCAGGAAATTGTGCTATGGCCAGATCTGGGGTACCCCTTCCCTCCTACTGGGCCCTCTGCCTGATGTTTTCGAGGGTCAGGGGCTCTGCCTTGTCCTCCCTCTACTTTCATTTTCTCAGCCAAGCCTTAGTAATCTCTGCTCTGGCCCATCCTCTTGGCGGGAGATGGGAGATGTCTTGATCTTTGCCTTATTAAACTACTGGAATACAGTGACATTTTTTGAAATCCAGCCGTTGGGAGCTTTAGGCCACTCCCACTACACCCATCCCTGCCCCACCCTACCCCACCCTGCTTGATTCCACCTTCTTTTCTAAAATGGCCTTTGGGAGCCTGAAAGCTTTCTTTTCATCCTCCAGTGGTTTGGTTTTCTCCTCTTCCCTTTTCTCAATGGAGACTTAGGGCAGAGAGTGTTGGAGATCCCCAAGTAGCCTTGGGCTTTGGCTTCTCCGCTTTTGTGTGTGTGTGTGTGTGTGTGTGTGTGTGTGTGTGTGTGTGTTATCTTCTCCAGACTCTTGCTCTTCCCAGAACCTTATATAACCCTGATCAAATCAGCCATTCTTCTTTTTTTTCTTTCTTTTTTTTTTTTTTTTGGTGAGACAGGGTCTCTCTATGAATGTTCAGGCTGGCCTTAACTTTGTAGCCCAGGCTGGTCTCGAACTCACAATGATCCTCCTGCCTCAGCCTCCTGAGTACTGGGATTACAAGCACGAACCACCACCCCAGGCTAGATCAGCCATTCTTACCCTTTTTTTTTTTTTTTTTTTTTTAGTATCAGAGATAGAACGCAGAACCTCACACTTGCGAGGCAGGCATTTGTGTAGCTGAGCTATAAACCCAGCTCTATTCTTTCTTTCTTTCTTTTCTTTTTCTTTTTTTTTTTTTTTTTTTTTTGTGAGACAGGGTCTTTCTATGCAGTTCAGGCTGGCCTTGAGCTCACTTTGTAGCCCAGGCTGGTCTTGAACTTGCAACGATCCTCCTGCCTCAGCCTACCGAGTGCTGGGATTACAGGAGTGAGCCACCACACTCAGCACTTTTCTTTCTTCTTCTTCTTCTTTTTCTTTCTTTTTTTTTTTTTTTTTGTACTGGAGATTGAAAGTAAACACTCTTAACTGTGAATTATATATCCCCAGCCAGGTTTTTTTTTTTTTTTTTTTTTCATACCAGGAATTGAACTCACAACCTTGAACATGCCAGGCAAGTGCCAAGGTACTGATCTAGCTCTAGTCCTTTTTTTTTGGGGGGGGGGCTTTTTTTTTTTTTTTTTGAGACAGGGTCTCTAAGCAATTCAGGCTGACCTTGAGCTCACTTTGTAGCACTTTGTAGCCCAGGTTGATCTCAAAATTGCAACGATCCTCCTGCCTTAGTCTCCTGAGTGCTGTGATTACAGGCTTGTGCTACCGTGCTCAGCATGGTCTCTCTCTCTTTTTTTCTCTTGTCTTTTTTTTTGGGGGGGGGGGTACCAGGGATCGAACCCACAACCTTGTACTTGCCAGACAGGCACTTATGCTGCTGAGCTAAATCCCCAGCCCTCTTGTCTTTTTTAATATTCTGAGACAGGGCCTTACTGAGTTGCTCAAGTTGGCTTCAAACTTGCAGTTCTCTTGCCTCAGTATCCTGAATGGCTGGGATTCAAACTTCATACCCACTTGAGGGATCATTTGTCTTTTTTAGTAGAAATATGAACAATTTAGCAAGATAGACAGGAAGTAAGGTAGGGCTGGTCTAGTAAGTGAGTGAATAGTGTTTTTAAACAAGTCCTCTCAGTTATCTGAGCTCCCTTGCTAGCCCTATGAAGGATATTATTAAAATTGGGGAAAAATTGTTTGGGGAATAGGCCAGGGGAGTCTATAGCCTCTTACTTACTGGGCCATGCCAGTCTGTCTCCTGTGCCTCACGGTGCAGCTGTCCAGGCCTGGGACACCAGGCCAGTGTGTGCGCATGTGGTGGGGCCACTGGAGCAGTGTGTGTACTTGTTATATTTAGCCACCTGCCTCTATTCTCTCCCACTGATCCTAACTAGGGAGGCTGGGCTTCCGGAAAGTGGGGGAGGTTTACACACTTAGATCCCAGGCTAGAGAAGATCAAGGGGACTCAGACTGGGGTGTGGGTCACTTTCTGTGTCTACAGTGGGAAGAGCTGGAATTGCTTGCCCCTTTTTGTATCTGCTGTTCTCAGGTTGAAGTGAAGTGGCCTAGCCCCTCCCAGGAAAGAAGGTGTTGCCTGGCTTAATGTTTAATTAGAGCTCAGAGTTCAGGGCCAGGAGTAGAATTGGGTACAGAGCTGTCTGTAAGATGGTGTGGTAATCCTTGACCCAGCCTGAATACCTTGACCACAATGGGTTCTCTTTGTTGGGCTGGATTTTAGGCACAAATGGGAAAATTGCAAGGACAGGGAAGGGGCACATGGGGTCCAAGCTTGGGTTTCTGGGCCCCACCCCAGTCATCTTGCCTAGGGTGGATGGATGACTCAGATGATGCCCTACCTTCTGCCACCCCAGGGTGGCTTTAAAAGAGACAGCGAGAGGGGCTGGGGATTTAGCTCAGTGGCATAAGCGCCTGTGCCTGCCTTGCAAGTGTGCGGTGGTGAGTTCGATCCCTGGTACTGATAAAAAAGAAAAAGATAAAAAAAAAAAAAGAGAGAGAGAGAGAGAGGGAGACAGCAGGAGACACAGTGGAGATAGCAGATATCTTTTTTTTTTTATTGGTACTGGGGAACAAACTCACAACCACGTGCTTGCAAGGCAAGCACTTATGCCACTGAGCCAAACCTCCAGCCCTGACAGCAGATGTCTTAAAGGAGAGAAAAGAGGCTCGAATGTCTGTATCTTTTGCCTTTTCTCCAGAGGTCCCTTTCCTGTCTGGTTTCTAAGACCCTTTGGAAGGGTCTGGAAGCAGGGCTCTGGACAAGCACTGTGCACAAGTAATTAGAGTGCAGAGTGATCTAGAGTGATAGCTGGGGCTGTACCACCATGCCAAGGCCTGTGCCTTCCCTTGCGGAACTGTGGGAGGAAGGCTGAGTCAGGAATGGGGGAGATCCCAGGCCCACAAAGGAGAAGCACCTCTTCCTTCCATCAGGCCCTTACGCTTGACAACTTCCTCGATTGCCTGCCTTTTGCAACCCTGGTGCAGATAGGCAGGGAGATGCAGGCTCCTTTCAAGACAAAAACAGGTATGGAGATGTGGAGCTTGCCCTATGCCAACTAGCAAGTGGTAGTAAGTCAGGACTTAAACATGGGCCTTCTGACTTCCCCTTGGATCTCCCCCTGCTCCCCTTCTCCCTCCTCCCCCCTCCCCCCCCTTCTTCTTTTTTTCCCTCTCTCTTTCTGGTTTTGGTAAGACAGGGTCTCACTGTGTTGTTCATGATCCTCCCACCTCAGGATCCCTAGTGCAGAATAACACGTGTGTGTTACCATGGCCAACTTCAGTTTGGTACTTCCGTCATCAGCGCTCACTTCTCTATGCTTAGGGACAAGTTGAAGATCTAGAGGGGATAAGGTGAGGATAGGTAACTGACGCTCATTCCTGCAGCCTGCAGATTCTGCTGTGGGACTAGTGAGGCCTTAATGCTCTGCTCTCCTGCCTGGGCCTGTTAACTCTTTCTTCATCAATACCTTTGGCCCTAGCCGGGGCCTGGAAGGACCAGAATCCCACTGGACCATAGATTATGAGACAGAGTTTGGGGAGCCTGGTGATTTGTATGTCTTGAGATTGTCATGAGAATTGTTTACCTGGATTGTAAGGAAGCTTGCCCTTTGACAGGGACCAGCGATTGGGGTCTTTGAGGATGCCTTGAGGGGGCTTCCTCCTCTTACTTCTCTAAACTACTCTCTTCCCAGTCTACATTCTGATTGGAAGGTACAGCTAAACCAGCTAAACCTGGGGGCTGAGAAGTACTTATTGGGCTCCTAATGCCTGCCCCTGGCCTTTAGGAGTCTGAGACTTCCTCTTGCATGGGATGTGCCCACTGCCTCTTCTCCTGGTCCTATTCAGTAGCTCAGGATCAGAGCTGAAGTCAGGGACAGCTGGGAGATAACTGGTAGAAGATTCCTTTTACCTACCAACTGTCCTGTCCCCATCCCCGTCCCCCCCCCCCCATCCCTCCCTGCCACTTTACTACCTCAAGCAGCTGCAGCCAGCCACAAGACCAAGCCTGGCTCCTGGGAAGCCCAGGCACTTGAGATAGACCCTCCCATTCTCACCTTGGCTCCCATGAGCCTGCCAAAGGTAACACAGGCTGAGTGCTAA